AAGTTCCACTTTCCACCACTCGTCACAATGAGTTCAAATATTGAAATTTTATTTCAATTTATATATATATATATACATATACATACATATATATATATATATATATATATATATATATATATATATATATATATATATATAAATTGAAATAAAATATTTGTTCATGGTTTTTAAGATGAGGATTAAAATTAAAAATTTGTTAATAATTTTTGTAATGAGGATTAAAATTAAAGATTTGTTAACGATTTTTTTTTTAATCAAAATATCACTATAACTGATAACTGATAACTATAACTATCTATTTATTTGTTATTTTTTTAACATATCATGTTATCCTTTATTTAATCCAGAAATTTTATCTTTTGATGCCAGTGTTTACTTTTGATTATTTAATGAATTGTTTCAGACCTTTTTGGTTTCTTTAACTGATATCATTGTATAAATTTTTATTACAGATACATAAGCATTTTTGTTATCTATATTTGTGTTCTTTATTTTATGGTAATGGGGTATCTCACACCACACAAAAATCTGGAATAAACAAATATGTCAGATAATATATAATGTTGTGTTATTTAATTAGTGTGGTAATTTTTATGGGTTATTGTATAAATATTTTAAATGGTTTTAATTTAATTATGTTTTGATGTGACTAGTTTAGATATAAGCTGACACTTAATGGAATTTAAGCTTAGTTAGTTGATGCTGTTCTTATTAGAAAGAGATATTTTAGTTTAAATGGGTAATGGTTGAAATTAATTCTGCTAGTTAATTTTTTTTTAATTCCACAACACTACAATAAATATTTAAACACTAATATGAAACTAATAGTATTTATTCCCCATCAAATTACAATTAAAAACAATTTAAATCAAAAGAATAGTAAAAAGCATGAACCTAATTGATTGTTGGTACATTAAACAGAAAATTTGTTAACTTTACATTAAAGTCATAGATGTTATATTTGGATAAAATACACTCATATCCATAAATTAAGGATAATGAAGTTCAGGCAAAGAAAGAGACAGAAGCAAAACAAATTTAACTTATTTGTAAAGTCTATTTATTAAACAAAAGGTAAAGAGCAAAAAAGATGCTATATGTTTGACATAATTAATAAAAATTGCGATTTTTACTCCCTGGAGCAAATTTCAAAAAAGAACCTATTTACAAAAAGCATTATAACATGGTTAGTATGATGGTTAATATGGAGTATGTCTCCCGGAGGATGCAATACAGGCCTTACCACGCCTAGGCATGCTGAGTATCAAATTATCAATCTGATCTTGGGGAATATTACACCACTCATCAAGCAATGCCCTCCGAAGTTTCGGTTGACAAGTGGGAGGGGGTTGACGGGCTGCAATTCGTCGCCCAAGCATATCCTACACATGCTCTATTGGATTCAAGTCCGGTGAGTATGCTGGCCAATCCATACGGGTGATATCCTCCAATTAAAGGCATTCGTCTACAATGTTTGCACGGTGAGGACGGGCGTTGTCATCCATAAATAGAAATTCAGCACCCATGGCGCCCCGAAACAAATGTACATGTTGTTCCAGAATGACATCCCGATAGATGTGGCCTGTCATCGTTACACTCTGAACATGCAGGTCAGTTCTGTAACCAAGAATAATTCCTCCCCAAACGAGCCAACCTGCACCACCGTAACGGTGTCGTTCAATGGTGTTCTCTTGGTGGTAACGAGTACCTGGCGCTCTCCATATGAAAGTCCGGCGAGAATCAGACTGCAAACTAAACCTGGACTCGTCGGAAAACATCATACCAGACCACTGTTGCGGTGTCCACAATGCATGCTCTCTACTCCAGGTTAATCGCAGACGAAAGTGAGTTGCGATAAGTGGAACACATCTGGCAGGCCTACGAGCATATAGACCAATGTGCCCTAAGCGTCTGTACACGGTCTACCTTGAAACTGTCGTACCGGTAGCTGAAGAGAGCTGACGAGACAGGTCTGATGCTGTGCTCCGTCTGTTTCTTTTGGCAGTAACTGCTAAATACCGGTCCTCATTCGGTGTTGTAACTTGGGGGCGACCTGTGCTGTAACATCTACTCGCATTACCATCATCTTGGAATCGTTGCCAAAGCCTGGAGATGACACTCTGGGCGATTCCAAGTTCCTCGGATACTTCCAGCTGGATACGTCCACATTCCAGTCGTCCGATAATTCTACCACGTAAAAAATCATCCAAATGCTTCCTTTGTGCCATAACTATGCGGTTATTGCACTGAAAGGCTTTTAAAGCGCTTGTGAACAATTTTACTTCTTTGCCACCATTCCTTATGTACCCCTCTCTTACACTCTCGTCATTGTGACGTACTATCCGCGCCATCTGGTGGTTTCCTGTAATTTGCATATTCTTCTTCAAGATGTGTGTGATAATTCTAAAGGTGAAATTTTTATTTTAGCGTTCAATTTCTGTGTGATTCTGAATTATCCTTAATTTATGGACATGAGTGTAGTTCTCATTCTATCCAATAGTAATATCAATGAAATTGCCCGTTGGAAACATTTTTCAGGAACCTTTGCAATATATTCCTAATCTCCATGTTAAATCTACTTTTCTTTCTTATGGTGGCTGGATTTCATCTCTAGATTTTTTTGTTTGCACATATTAACAGGCATCCTAATATTCATCCTGTTCTTTGGAATCGGCCAAGAACTACTTTTCTTTGTTATGGTGGCGGGATTTCATCTCCAGATTTGTTGCTTGCACATTCTAACTTGGTTCCTAATATACACCATGTTCTTTTGAATAGTTCTGTTTATCATTATTTTGTTCTTCTCATTAGCAAGTGTTTCTTGATTACGATTAATTTGAACAAGTAACATTCAAATAAAAATATTATGACTGTTTTTATAAAGAATCAAGTTTTAGTTA